GATTTGGCGCGTGGGGGGGGGGCGTGTAACTCTGGTGGTACACTTGCCTAGCATGCATGAGGCCCTGGGTTTGATCCCCAGCATGGAAAACCAATTATTTGCTTTTCCTTTTCTCTGAATTTTTTCACCCATCTTTTTTCCTATGGTTGTTTTCAATAAGAAATTAGCCCTTTGACTGTGATGTTTACTGCAACCTTTTTACTTTCAACTTGTTTATGGAGGCTTTTACTAAGCAAAATATTTTATTTTTAAAAATAGAATTTATTTTTCAGAGCAGTTTTAGGTTCTCAGCCAAACTGAGCGGAAGGTACAGAGGTGTCCCATATTCCCTGGTCTCACACACGCGTAGACGGGATTCCCTGCTACCTGCGCCCCGCAGCAGAGTGGCGGAGTTTTTCAAGCGATGAACCTACACTGACTGATCATTAGCACTTACATTCCTTAGCTTACAGTAGGGTTTACTCTCGGAGTTGTACATTATGAGTTTTGATGAATGAACAATGATATCTGTCTACCATTAGAGTGTCTGACAGAACAGTTTCACTGCCATGAAAATCCTGTTTGATTATTCACCACCTCCGCCCCAACTCCTGAAAACCAGTGATCTGTTTTGCTATCTCCATAGTTTTGCCTTTTTAGACTGTTAAGAGTTGGAATCACACAGGATGTAGCCTTTTCTGATTGGCTTCTTTCACTTAATAATGTGAGTTTAACGGGCCAGAGATTTAGCTCAGTGGTTTCGTCGCCTGCTGCGCAAGCGCAAAGACCCGAGGTAGATCCCCGGTACCAAAATAAAATAAAATAAAATAAGAAAATTAAAAAAAAATAATGTGAGTTTAAGATTTCTCCATGGTTTTGATGGCTTAATAGCTCATTTGTTTTTAGTCCTAAGTAATATTCCCTTATCTGGATGTACCACAGCTTGTTTATCTATTGACCTTATTTATGAAGGACATCTTAGTTGCTTCAAGTTTAGTAATTCCTGCCATAAATACTAGTATGTAGGCTTTTGTCTGGACATAAGCTTTCAATTCATTTCAGTAAATACCAACAAGCATAGTTGGTGGGTCACACAGAATATATAAAGAATTAAGATGTATTATGTCCATGTACCAACTCTAAACAGGGACTATAAACTTTATGTACTACAAACATGTACCAAAAAAAAAAAAAGGAAGGGGATCAAGAGGTGGGTGGAAAGGGGAGAGAGGGAGGGGAAAGAGGATGAAAAGAGAAATTAAGATGTGTTATGTAGGGCCAGGGATTTAGCTCAGTGGTTCTGCCCCCTGCCTCCCAAGCGGAACGACCCAAGTTCAATCCTCGGTACCAAAAAAAAAAAAGATGTGTTATATAAATGCATTAATTCCCCACAAGGATTGAAAACATTATTTACTACAAGCATGTACTAAACAAACAAACAAACAAAAAACCCACGATAATTCCAAAAAAGACAATGAAAAAGGAAAAGCTATTTTAAAAGACATTAAAATGTACAATGTAATAATGTAATGGTAATTAAAAGTAAAGTATTGAAACAATTAAAAACACATCATAGCTGAATAAAAAAGAAATGCCAGAAAGAAGTCCAAACACATTCAGTGACTTGTTATTTAATAAAGGCATTATTTCAGATTGGGAGGGGAAAGATGGCATTGTAAAAACTGGGTATTGTGTAAAAAATACAAGTTTGGAACTGTATCTTACATCATACATACTCACTATATGCACAAAAGTTTCAATGCAAGAAAAACTGAAATAATAAATATTAAAAGGCAAAATAAAATTTATCTTTCAAATAGCACAAGAAAATTTGTTTCAAGTATGACCTCTAGCATGAAATAATTTTTTAAAAGACTGAAAAATTCAATGACATAAAAACCTAAAACTTTTTACATCACATTGGAAGTCCTATCTAAGACAACAAGACAAGAAAAGGTACACTTATTAAGAAGAAATAAATAAAACTGTTTGCAGCTGCCATGATTGTCTCTGTTGAAAATTTGAAGGAATTAACAATACAAAGTAATATACCAAGGCCAGGGATTTAGCTCAGTGGCACTGTGCTTGCCTGAGTTCGATCCTCGGTACTGAAAAACAAAAAACAAAAACCAAACAAAAACCCCACAAAGTAATATACCAAATCCAATCACTTTTCTATATACCAGCAATCAACAAGTGGATTGAAATTTAAAATACAATGCTATTTACATTGGTACCAAAACAAACAACTTAGGCAGGCATAAATCTAAATCTATCTATGTATGTGTATATATGTATGTGTCTATATGTGCACACATGTATATGTATACACGTATAGACACATACATCATGTATGTGTATACACATATGTATATATGTATGGGTACATACATATATGTACATATATATATATTCCATATGAGGAAAACTATAAAATGCTGATAAAAGGAATCAATGAAACTGGTCCAGTGGAAAATTATTCTATATTCATGGATTGAAAGACTTAATACTGACATGGTATCATTTCTGCCCAACATGATCTATAGAGTCAATGCAGTCTAAATTGAATTAGTCAGTTTTTCCATTACTGGGGCAAAATACCTGATATACACAATTTAAAGGAGAAAAGACTTATTGTGGATCATTGTTTCAGAGGTTTCAGTCCATGGCTAGCTGGCAGAAGTCAGAGACATCATGGCCCAAAGTCATGAAAGAGGAAATCTGCTCAACCCATAGTAGGTAGGAAACAGAGAGCAGAAAAGGCAGGAGGGAGAAAGAGGGAAATGGGATAGGGAAAAGTATATGCCCTTCCAGGTTACACACCAGTGACCTACTTACTCCAACCAGGTCCTAGCTCCTAACAGCACACTAACATATGAATTCATCACTGAATTAGTCCAGATCTGTGAGGTATGCTGTTTTTGATTGAGATAGCATTAAAGCTATATACCAGCTTTGGAAATGTGGCCATTTTGACTATACTGGTTTTACCTATCCAAAACAAGGGATATCTTTTTATTTTGTGATGTCTTCTTTGATCTCCTTTTTCACAGTAGTGCAGTTTTAATTATACCAATCTTTCACTCCCTCAGTTAGAATAATTGCTAAATATTTAGTTTTTCTTAATGCTATTGTAAATGATATTATCTGACTAATTTATTTCTCTGTGAGTTCATTATTGGTGTGCAGGAACACTACTGATTTTTGTGTGTTGATTTTGTTTTCCTGCTATATTTGTGAGTTTAATTCTAGAAGTCTTCTGGTGGAATATTTTTGGATCATCTATGTAGAGGATCATGTCATATGCAAATAATGATAATTTAACTTGTTTTTTCCTATGCACATCACTTTATTTATTTTTCTTGCTTAATCACTCTTGCTGATGTGTTGAGTACTATATTGAATAGGAGTGGTGTCTTGTCTTGTTCCTGATTTTAGAGGAAAGATTTCAGTTTTTCTCTATGTATGTTGATGTTGATTAATGTGATGTAGGCTTGTCATAAATGGGTTTTATCAGACTGAGAAAAGATCCTTCTATAACATATTTTCTTAAGTGTTTTTTTTAAAAATCATGACAGGGTGTTGGATTTTGCCAAAAGCTTTTTTTGACTATTGAGATCATGATGTGATTTTTCTCTTTGTTTCAGTTTATGTGATGTATTGCATTTATTGATTTGCATACATTGAACCATCTTTATATCCTTGGGATGAAGCTACTTGATCATGATGTATGATCCTTTTCATGATTCATTGCATTTTGTTTGCCATTATCTTGTTGAGGATTTTTACATTTATATTCATTTAAAAGATTGGTCTACAGTTCTCTTTTCTGGTTGGATCTTTATCTGGTTTTGGAATCAGAGTAATACTAGCTTCCAGGAATGAGTTTGGGATTACACCTTCCCTTTTGATCTCATTAAAGAGTTTGAGAAGTATTGGTGTTAGAACTTCCCTGAAGATTTGTAGAATTCAGCAGTGAACCCATTTGGGCCTAGTTGATATATTTTTTATTACTGCTTAAATTTCATTGCCTGTAATTGGATTATTCAGGATTTTAAAAATCTTTGCTCAGTTTTAGTAATTCATGTGTATGTAAGAATCTATCCATTTCTTCTATATCTTCCAATTTACTGTTATTCTGGTTATTTTTCTGTGTTATTTTCCCATATAAACTCTAGATTTAGCCTGTCTAGTTAAAAATTGTCTCAATATTTTTAATATATTAGTTTAATGTAATGGAGTATTTCTTGAGTTGTTGTAAATATTTTAAACTTACAAGTGTATCATCTTCATGAAATAGAGTGTTACTGTCATAGACATAGAACATGGTATGTCTTTCCAGTTTTTCAAAGTTTTTAAGGTCTTATGTTTATTTAAAACATTTAACTATATAGATCTTGAACATATTAAATGTATTTCTATAGCAAAATATGTAGACTTTCTAATTTGTTGTTGTTCTTATGAATAAAATTGTTACTTTCTAGATATTTGAATTTTATTGACTCACTTTATTGAATTTTGTTGTTCCTTAAAAAAAAACTTTTCCTTTATTATCCTTGGTATTCATGGTATATAATATCACCACATACAAATATTGTAGTGTTTTTCTTTCTAATTTATGTGCTTCATGAATCTTTCCCTTTTTTAATTGTCTAGATTGGTATGTACAGAAAAAAACATTGAATAGTTATGGTGATAATGGACATTCCCAACTTGTTTTTGACTTTCATGAGATATTTCTTATATTTCATCATTAAAAATAATGACAGTTTTGGAATTGTGAAATGTATTTTATTATGTTAATATATACTCTCTATTATTATTTTAAGATTAATTTTAATCAGAGCAGATGTTAAAGTTC